GGTGTTGCGAGTGGGTGGCCCTGATCGCTTACCATCAGGTGATCCGTCTGCTCGTTTGCCTACTATTCCATAAAAAAAAATTAGATTTCTTGCGTGATCACGTCGTGTCTTTTAAATATTATCGTACATTAAACTATGTATGATCTTTAGCCACATAAACTTAATTCGGTCATCATACAAGAGTTTGAGAAACGCTGTTCTACATTATTACAAGCACATACATAACTATGTCTACATATAAAACTACTTACTATACTTTTGCGGACATTGAACTGGACTTATCCCGAATACATACAAAGTCAACTATGTTAATTAAATTCACAAATTAAAATGTTTTCGAGCCTAAATTGGGAAAGGATTGTTTGAGAACACTTGAACCTTTGATTAACATTTCCGTACCATCCAACCTAATTGTTTTATAAATAAGGTTAAAACTAATATGGTTTCTAGTGATCTGATCCCCTTATATCTGTGTAGGTAGCTTAAATCAATGCGTTGTAAAACCTATTGCACTTAAATAATCCCAACATAACCACTTCATATCATCAACAAAGTAGCGTAGGCCTTTTACTCCAGAGCGTCCGTCATCTGTTCATTAAAATAAATCAATGGATGCTTATATGTATTGCGAGGTTGCTTCAGGCATTAATATAACATTAAAATTCACTGTACTTTCTTAATCCCTTCCAAAGTCTCTCTTCTCTTGATTGCAAGTTGATTTGTGAAAACACACCGTAAAACCCGTAAGTATAATGTATACTTTACCCAGTTCCACATATAAATATACATACACAGTTATATGCCATGTACGATTGTACGCACACACCTACATATGTTTATAATTTCGAGGAAATAATACTCTTTTCCGTTTATAAATACATTACCCGGAAAATCTCCAATGGTAACCCGGGTAACATTTATTACAACCACCTTTATCCTTATACTTATGGGTAAGAAATAAAAATATCAATTTTGTACCCACAAAAAAGACGGGTACTCTTCGCCGGATACCCAGATAAATGTAAGCCTGTCGTTTTATTTTGGATATAAATAAAACTATGTTACCAATTTATAATGTTGTACAAGTGTCATTCGTAAAATTCGTAAAATATCTAACGTATATAAATATATCTAGGTGTTGTCACTTGTAAGTATAATGAATGGGTTTATACATTTATAACTTATAACTTGTTAAACGAATGTGAGCACGAATACAAACAAGCTGTGGTTTAATGGTGCAAAAAATGGTTTAAAATTGTACTGAAATATACATAAC